CGGCGGGCGAGAGCGGCGGCGCGCTCTTGCTCCGCCGCGGCTGCCGCGGCCGCGGCCTCCCTCCGGGCGGCAGCGATGGCCGCCGCCGCCCCCTCGGGGGAGGACAGGCCGAGCCGGACGCGGGCTTGGAGGTCCACCACGACCCTCGTCTTGAGGGACGTGTCGTTCCAGGAGGCTACGGCTTCCGGGGAAGGGTCGAAGCGCGCCACTTTTTTCCGCGATCGAGGCATGGTTTTATGTCTTCTAGGTGCGGTGATTTTCCAGGGCCTGGTGAAAAAAGAGGCAGGCAGAGCACACCCCACAGGAGCGTATCGCAGCAGGAGAAATGGGTGAATTTGACTTGCAAATACATCTGGTAGCGAGGTTGAATGAATAAAAAACCAATGACTAGGTGCATCTAACTGCTGGTGTGGGTGCATCAATGCACCATCCTGCGCACGCATTCCATTTGGTGAGGCCGGCGGGAACACAAAGGAGTCCATATTCCTCGGGCTGGCGTTAACGCCCGGATCGGATTAAAACTTCTGTTTGTGGACATGAAAATATCCATGTGTATACTTATTTACCTCTCTCCGTTGTGAAGGACACTCAACAAAAAAAACTTTAATGCATGCGTGTAAAAGCTGTTACAGGTGCAGGTATAACATCCCGCCAAATGCGTCGAGCTGTGTCAGGTCCATCATGGAGACCCCCACGGTGGACCACGTTTGATCACCGCTGTGTGAAAAATATGTGCATGCGAGCATTGGCAGGAACACAGAGAGGACAAAGCACCATATATTGCGTAGAGAACAGCCCCCGGTGCAATTCCTGAAGGCAACATGAAGAGAGTAAAAGGAGCCGCAGTGTTTTATTGCCCGCTCCACCATCGGGGCTCGACACGCGGCGCACTTGTTTTGCGTGCCATCAAACTCTGCACTCGCAAAATATTCCTACGGAACGCGCCACACACGGAAGCAACACCAAACCTCTGAAATTAGGTCCACACCATAAACGCAACATTCCGACAAATCGATCACAAACACTATCCAAAGGTCAGCTTTGCGGGGTACAGGTCGGGAATATTGGATGGCTGGGGGGACACGTCAGTTCTCCGTCGAGCATGATGTTCAACACACGCAAGCGCCGGCAAAGGAATCGGTCAAAAAAGGAACCCCATAATCACACCGGGTTCAACAACCGGGGGGGGAAAGGGTGGAAAGCGAACGAGCTACAACATACGCGTCCAAGTAACGACGGCCACACCGTGAACAAATCCGGGAGAAACACCGGAGTAATGCTGCCGCATATCTACCGACATTTGAGATATTGAATGCTGTTGGTTGTTTTCTTCACGTCAACCTGTGATAGAGACGCGGAAGGGACCGTTTGGAATTCCAGATCCCGCTGCAAGAATTGGATCCGCATTCGGACGACGGCGATATGTACATAAGCATGTCAAGGGTAGAATTGAGAGCCAAAAGCAAGAGTACCCTCGGAGCAAACCAACGGGGATCAGGGTCCATGTTCGTTTTGCCTCTTTTCGGTTCCTTTATCGCTGGGTGGGTGGGTGTGCGTACTTGTAGTCAAACGATAGTCAAGAGGTTCCAGCTATCGCAGCATTACAGATATGGAGCTTCTATGCAATCAATTGGAACTGCCATAACCGAACTAGAGAGACCCTCTGCTATGAAGGGACAAAACCTAGATGACGAGGGTAGAATGGCCACGTCCGCATATTGGTCAAGGATATACGCTTGCACCGCTGGCTATTTGCTATAATAGCTGGGCGATGTCATCGACCACCACATACGACCCTTTGCTTCTCCCACGTGTAGATAGTGGACATTGTTGCGGCTGGCCGCAGAGGGATATTCGCAACACACTCGTTTCGGCTTATGGGGGAGCACCAGGGCGCACCGAGTCGCTTCATCTGTTGTACGTGTTAAAAGTGACCTCTTGAACTCCGATCAAGTCTTCCACGCGGGGACCGCAACATCGAATAATGCATGAGAGGAACATACACTCACAAGAGAGACTCACGGACAGCGCGCTCTGAAGCACGAAGCAATCAGTTTATTATTCAAGATGAAAACGGCTGGTTCACCTTGTGAGTAGAGGAGCAGAGGGGTCTACAGCCGGAGGAGGGTATGAAACTGGCCGATCATGCCCACCAGCACACGTCTGTCTCTAACGCAACGGTCTTCCTTGAGTATGCATCGAAAAAGGAGCGACATTTGCCTTCCGAAGAACTCACTGTAGTTACTAATCACTGCTGCCGCTGTTGCGCCTCTAAAGCTGTACTTGTAGAGGATACCTAATACGGAGGGGAAAAAAACAAAATACATCCAAGGGCAAGTAGATAGACTGGATGTGTGATCATTCAGCACACAACACCCAGGATCCTCGTCTCACCTTGGACAGCAGGCCACGCTGATCCGTTCCTCCGTCACACGCACACCCTCCTCCCTTCTTTTGGTGGCAAAGTCGACAACACCCTACTTTGCGATATAGTAGTGTTGTGACTGCTCACTGCTTTCTCGTTTGATGTTTTTTTCCAGAGCGAGGAGAAAGAATCACGAACACCACCTTGCTTGGCTCGAGCAGAGGGAACGAGCTCAAGATGGGCGCGGACGCCCGCGGATCGCGGTGGCGCGGTGACGGGGCCGTCGACTACCGCGCGTGCAGAGCGAGATGTCTCTGTCTGGGAAGAGATAGACCAAGACAACCCAACGCCTTGTCTGAAACCAAGTTGATTCGAGATTGGCGTAAAAGGAAAGGCGACACGACAGCAAGGGCACACACGCGGTGGAGAGAGAGCTGGATAGAAAGGTTACAATTTTCCGCGCATCTGATTGGCTGATGTATCTTGGGGCGATACTGGCAAGGGAGGCCCGTCAAATCATCAACATACCAACAGATTGTTGAACTCGTAGTGTAATACACTCTGCCGTTCCCCGTCCTACCGCGTTATTGCCTCGTTGCCCGCCGGCACCATTTCGCTTTCCTGCTGCGGCCAGCGTTCTTGATGCGTGTGGCGACGGCGGGGCTGGTGTTAACCCTATCATGCAGGTTCTTCTGCGTGATGGCGTTTCTCGGAGGTCCTGTAGCCGTACCATCTCATACTAAGGCACAGCACAGCGCCAGGTCAGCGGTCAGTAAGAATGCAGAGTTCGGACATGACGTACCCCACCCCCGCTGAAACACGTCATGCACCCTCTGAGCCGGTGGGATGTCGCATTGTCGCGCACAGCACACAGCACAGGGAGGCTGAGATGGATAGAGTGCGCTGCACACTGTAGGTTCAGCGTAACACATACGATCGATCTCCTCCCGTCCGTGTCCATTTCGTTTGATTTTACAGCCAAGAGCACAGCAGTTACTTGTTGTTCCTGCGAGCAGCGTGGTACGCAGAAACGACGCTTTTTGTGATCTTCAGGCTATGTCTTACAGATTTACCCTTCGAACCGAACGTACGAAAGCCATCGGGAGGATCGAGACCTTCGGAGCAGCAGTGAACCGATCTGTACAAGTACAGCACAGTACCCAATCCGATGGGAGCCAAATCAGGACATCAGGACATGAACTTGCAAGTGGACACAACTTACGACGTCGAGGGGGGCCTTGGCTGAAGTACGCGAAAAATGAATCAGTATATGTTGTTCGTGTGGGTACCACAGATATAAACAGCTCCAAACGATACTAGCTCAACGTTGCTGTGTTGTGCCTCTCGAATTAGCTGTATAGTATAAGCATGAAACAATCCTATTTCTCATCCCGGTGCGTTAACCCCGCGGCAATGACATTTTTCGAGCAACCGGCTATTAGCGTGATCGATCCTGCACGATACTCCAACAAAAGTAGTTGAAGAAACACATGCCATGCAAATTCCTCAACGGTTGGGAGAGCTTTGCTGAGAAATCCTCTTGTGGTTGAAGCATGAGTCCTGCTGTTGTAAATTGTTACATAGGAAAAATAAATACACACACGGAAACACTATTCTACCCGTTCGAGATATAGTCTACCCAAAGTGTGTAGGGGTTGCCTTCAGGACAGCCTCGTCGAGAGGATGAAGACCAACGCCTCCCGAAGGGCGACCGTGAAAAGTTAAGACCAGTGTATTTTAGAGCGTCCGTATGTGCTTGGAATTGGCGAACAAGATTGCCACGCACAACACTCTCAAGGCTGTCTGCATTGAGAGGAACTGGCGTTGATGAGGACGGGTTTCGGAGATCCTTGAACACCCAGGAACACCAAAGCACACAGCAAGCCTGCTTTCATCTCCCTCGCTGGCTCCATCCCTCTGACCGCCTGCATGAACGTGTCGAGCTTCCTCCGCCCTCCCTGCAACGCACACCAAGGACACTTGCGCAACTACGCAACAACGCGCGGTGTTCCAGCCTCCGCATGTCGTCAACTGACGAACCAACGCCGGAAGAACTAAGCACCCCGAATAAGAAAAAGAAGAAGGTCGTGGTGGTCGGAGGCGGGTGGGCGGGTTTCGGCGCCGCGAAGGCGTTGACGGAAGCGGGGGAGGGGAGCTACGAGGTCACCCTTCTCGACGCCAGCCCTAACCCAGGGGGGCTCTCGGCAGGGTGGCGGACGGCGGGAGGACGCGCTGTGGAGGCCGGTATGACGCGACAGAGAGACGGACATGACAGCTTTCTTGTTCTCCCAGACATTTTTTTTGTCCGTTTGACGATGGAATTTGCCGTGCCAGTTGTATGCTCATGTAAACGCTTGCCGTAGTCGATTTAGACCATCCATACAATGCCAGGACGGAGCGATTTGCCGGGTTTTCGTGGGCCCAGGTTGCGCTTCACAAGCATGAAAAAGAAGCTGATGGCCATCGCCCCCGCGTTTGCTGTGTTAAACCCGATATGCCGTGCCGGTGTACGGGCAGAAATGCTGGTGAGGTCGCGTGTCGCCTCGCTCGTAGTCCTGCTCCTGGGCTGTCGAAGGGATAAAGTGGCGATCAACAACAGCGAAGATCATTTGGGCCGTAATCGAACCATTAGACTCATCAGCGCTGACGACGTGTCTATTGGTTTGATTTTCTGGCTACTTAAATGGTTTTGTTTTGGCTTGTAAAGGTCACGAGAAAAATCGGCCCATCTTCGCTCAATTCAATACCTACCCGTGCCTGTGTTCCGGGTGTTGCTCGTTGTATTTCTTTATTATTTTTGTGATGTAGGGATGAAGGGGTTCTGGTGGTCTTACCCTAACATCTACGACCTAGTGGAGAGGGAGCTCAAGATTGAGAATCCCTTCACGGACTGGACGAGGAGCAGCTTCTTCTCACCTGATGGCTTGCAGGTAGTTGGTTCCAGCAGCAGATTTGCGTGGCAGAGCCGATGCCCCAACAGCCCTTGTTCCTTCTTTTCGGCGGGGAGGGGTAACGGAACGAATCGTCCGGCGTTTTAGTGTTTGTTCCGTGGGAGAGCTGTGCAGCTGCGCTAGAAATACTCCGTAGCTGACGAGCGGGATTGGTCAGACCATTTGGCGCTTCTCTTCTGCTGGGAATCACGCGGAAGACTCCGTTCACATTCCTCAAGGATGCTGCATTGGTAGAGGGGTAAACTTCATGCTGCTTTGTTTTCCGGTCTGTCAGGGTGTTGGAGGTCCATGTTGAGACCACGCACGCTTCGATTTCGGGAAGGTGAAGATCCATGAGGGTAACGGCTGAACACAACCTGACCCGTTTGGGCTGATGGGATGCGATGATACACAACACTGCCGTTTTGTCCTCAGTTTCCCGTTTTTTTCCCACGCGAGCTCTGGGGACGCGGTCCTTCTCCCGGAAGGGTTCGTCTTGCTGGCGCGGACGTTCCAAAGATAAACAGCACAACACGCCCCCTCCCAAAACTGTTGGGAAACCAACCTGGCGGACTGAAAAGACTTTTTTTTCTTCGTGCTTAATGCCAGTCGATTTTTCCGTTGACCTCTCGGCCGGCTTGCTTGATTTACACTTACGAAACGAAACGCACACACACGAAACGCACACGTACGCTAACGAAGAGCACATAACGCCTCCTCTTTTCTCCACTCCCCTTTCGTCCTCCCCTGCCCCGTCCCGTCCCGCCACCAACAATACCGCGCGTGCGCCACGACGCGGTTGGGGGACCCAACAAAACAGGTGGAAGCTCCCGTGCTCAACCGTGAGCAGAGCTACCCTTCCCCCCTGGGCCTGTTCCTGCACACGAGGGCGCTCTTCACCTCTCTCCCGTTGGCCGACCGGGCGTCGATGATCCCCCTGCTGTACGCCATCCTGGACTTCGAACGCGACGAGGACACGTACAGCGAGTACGACAAGATGACTGCCAGGGAGCTGTTCCGCCGGTTCGGGGTTTCCAAGAGGTGGGGGAAGCAAAGCGGGTTTCGGGGGGGGGGGTACACATGTGTTTGCATGCCTTAGCTGTTAGACCGTTAGCCACGCGTCCTCGACAGAACGGGGGCTTTGTGCCCACGGGGGGGATTAGGAACGTCGAGAAGAAGGGCAAGGGGGGGCTCGGCAGGGAGTAGGGGGGCTGTCTCTTATANGGGGGGGGGGATGTACTTGTTCTCATGATCAAGGCGGCTGCAGTAATTATCGACCCTATGCCTTCATGGCATCCTTGCAGAGGCAGCAGGGTGTCGTTCGGGTTTCGCCGACCGGCCGGGGTCGCGGAGAACCTTGACAGGTTGCGTAGCGCCGCGAGGAGCTTCGGCCAGTCGCAATAAGGGTGAGGGCGGGAGGGGGGGGCCGAGGGGCCGCGGATTAGACTGGATGATAGGGGTCTGTCTTTCGGATTCACAGCGCTTTGTGTAAGCGGAAGGGAAACGTGCGCGTCTCTGGCTGTTCCTCGAGCGTGCCTCGCTCTCTCCTTGTACCCCCCTATACCCCCCCAACGACGTGCGCACTTCGATCGATATCCTCCCGACCTCTTTCTCCCCTTCGCCATCGTGGCAAACATCACGCGGTTTCGACAATCACGGACGGCATCACAACACGCAAAGGCTCTACGAAGAGTTCCTGAAGCCCATCTTGCTGGTCGGTCTGTTCGCGCCTCCCGAAGAGCTCTCGGCGGGAGTCGTCTTGGGCATGCTCTACTTCTACGTGCTCGCCCACCAGCCCGACTTCGACGTGCGGTGAGAGCGTAGTTAGAAACCTACCACAGCCTTAGAGAGGGAAATCCAGAATGAAAGAGGGTGTCTAGGTTATTTTTTGCTTAAACATTCGTCCATAGCTTCAAGACCACGGGAACCATGTTACCTGCCTGTGCCCCCCCCCCGTTGATAGTGAGAGCCCGGTCTCTTCCTCCACAAAGGGATGATGTAATTCAATGGCCGAACGATTTTCAGCGCTGGAAGTAGTCCCCGGGGGCGCGCCGTCCGCCGCGGCCACCGCCGCCGAGGGTTTCGAGGGGGACATGGTTTGTGTCATCCCCTGCGGTGGCTATGCTTACACACCTCCTGCTACACCTGTCCTTCTGCCACACCTACCAACAGCGTCAAGTCTCGTAACTTAAAGACGGATAGGTCGGCCATGGCTCACCCCCCTCCCCCACTCCATATTGGCTGTCACAGTTTTTTGTGTACGAAGGGTGGGGTGAAACCGCCAACGGGCGCACGGGCGGGAAGAGCTTTCGTGGAGACTTGTTTCCCTTTCATGTTTTTTTTTTTTTGTCGTGTGTCATTCCCCCCATGGTTGAGAGCACAATCAGGGGGGGGAGGGAGGCTGTCACGGCTTGTCCAACGTCAATATTCGCTTCGGGGGGTTAACGCCAACCCAACGCTTGTTCGCGCCGGTTGGGCACCTCGTTGGGCGATAAAGCACAGCACAGGGGCTGTTCACGTAGATACAAGCCGGACTTCTGAAGTACTGTAGCATGCAGAATTGCGCGCTACAGTAGCGTCGTAACGTTTGCCTGCACCTTCTCCTTTTTTTTTATATTCTTTCCTTTCATTCCTTTTTTGTTTTTTGCAGTGCTGTACGCTTGACATCTTTTGTCAACCCCTCCCTCCTTCCCTCCCTTCCTTCCTGACTGCCCGTCTCTTCCCTGTCCTTCCACCCCCCCCTTCTCGTGGAACTTCTCCGCCTTTTGTAAGATGGTGCACCGGTTCTGTCGCCGAGAAGATCTTCGCCCCGATGGTGGACAGGATAAAGGCACGTTATCCCAATAATAATTCTAGCTCTTGCGTTCCCTGCCTCTCCTTTTACTAGCGGGCTGGACAATAACATATCTTCATTGGCGGTACGCAAGCGCGCATCTCGCCTCTGTGCCCTACTGCTGTCGGACGCACCAAACACTACCTTGCTCCCCGACAATGACTTGCTCCCCGACAATGGTGGTATGTGCTTTTACGCTGACCATTCCCCGTGTACGGGTGCTTCGCGTGCAGGGAAACGGCGGCGAAATCCGCGGAGGCATGTTCGTAACCGACGTGGAGGTGGGCGACGACAAGAAGGTGGGTTTGGCTTGCAAGGAGGGATGTGGGTTTTTGTGTTACTAGCTTGGAGGCACTTGCATATTCGAAGCACGTGGTTTCGGGGTGTGTGGTTCGCGAAGTTCCGATCGTCCAGTTCGCCGGAGGGAAAAAAACGTAAGGAGAGGAAGATTATTTTTTGGGAGGTGAAACCACGCTCGCCCTCAGTTCGTCAATTTTCCACCGCCGGCTCCGTGGTTGCACCCTCAACAAAAATAGCTGGGAGGATTTCCGTGCAAGATACTTTTCCGTAAAGTTGTTGTTGTTGTTGTTGTTGTTTCTCACATTAGCTCTAAAAAACAAAATTGGGAGCCCGTGGTCTCAAAACCCGGCATACACGACCCCACGAAGAAACAGAAAAAAATAGGGTACAAAAACCACTCGGAAGAGAAACAAAATGATAGAAAGAAAGACCAGCTACCGCACCAAACGAGAAAGAGCGTCGAGGAGACCGATCAAAATAAAATAAAAGGAGA